GGAACAGATAACAACCTTCACAATAAGGTCGGGCAGCCTGCCGTCGTGTGAAAGTAACAATGCAACAACAGTGTCTGTTACAAGTCAAAGCTCTGCAGTCAAAACACGTACTTAAGTAAAAGTACAAAAGTGTCAGAGAGTCCCCACTGTGAAGAATGGCCCATCTCAGATTCATATTATTATATTATCCATTATAATTATTGATGCATTAATGTGTTGAGCACTTTAATGTTGCTGCTGGTAAAGGTGGAGCGATTTTTAATTACTTTAAGTACGTCTTGGTAGCTCGTAAATTCCCCTTATCTTGACTTAATTTATGACAATACATCATCATTTATGTGTTGATTATAATCAATCTGAATAGGCAAAGTAGTAACTAGATGTATTAAATACTTGTGGTGGAGTAAAAGGGACAATATTTGCTCTGAATTGTAGTAGCAGAAAAATAGAAGTACTCAAGTAAAGTACAAGTACCTCTTAATTGTTCTTAAGTACAGTACTTGAGTATATGTTAAATTTCAGAGAGGATCAACCTGAAACTATAAAAAGAGAGGGACAAATTTAGACAAGTGTTGGAGACACGCCTCACATTCCCAGTGGAAGTACACCGTTGCTTGGTGCAGTCTGTTGGAGGTTAACTAAAGTTCAGTTGCAGTTGGGTCTCAGCATTTTTCAATTTGCTGAGCGGGACAACCACGTTTTGTACGTCACCAATTTTGCCATGAACTAAGGAAACATCACTCAGTAAAGTCTGCAGCTATGCAGCCTCACAGAAAGGGCGCATCAGAGGCCTTGTTCAGTTGACATTGAGTGTCCCACAATGCAATGCAGGAAGGAGCTGTTCACAGCTGAAAAAGATTAAAACTAATTCAGAAAATATATATATATATATATATATATATATATATATATATATATGTGTGTGTGTGTGTGTGTGTATTTGTATCGATATGTATGTGTATATATATATACAAATGGTTAATTGATATCTTGTATACTAACTAAAAACAAATGTAAACTATAAAACTCAGTATCTACACTATTCTACAACATTATAATGCAGACTGGAATTTGGGACACAGACCATGTGAGCATTGTCAGCCCCGAGAAGAGTCCACCATATTTACACTAGAGGGAGCTGCTGTATTAAAGGAGACAGAATCCGCAGAGGACTGTGTTGTGCAAGCGTATGCTAGTGTGTGTGTGTGTGTGTGTGTGTGTGTGTGTGTCCTCTTGTTGTCTTAGCCTCAGTCTGAAGCATAATGTACAGTCTGTGATTTGTTCACCGATTCTGAAGAAACAAAGCCCTCTGGTAGAGGTGCAGTTGGAGCAGAGTCAACAAATCAGAAGTGTGTTCAGTTAAAATGAGTTCACTTCTCTTTGATTGTGTCTAAAACACACTTACTGATGTTTTGATAGAGTAACTAATTGAACAAGGCTTGGCATCGCTCCTGCTACCCACACGTGACTATCTGCAGGCATAGCTGCATCTCTACTAGTCTGTATTTGTCTGTGAAAACACAGCGCATATTTGAATTAATCATCCTCAGCATGCCCCAAAGTGAGAATGTTTGTGTTGCCAGGCTTTTGTGGTCTGTGTTGTTGGATCCTCACAGGCATGGGAATACTCTGAATGAACTAGCTTTCCATATTATTACTCCGCCATGTGTGGAGAGGTTGAGATCGTGTTGCAGTTACTGTAGCCACAGGGATCAGGCCCAATGAGCTCACGACTGTGAGGGACGCAAGAACGGACATGCTCCAATGCAGCAGAGGCTGATGCGGTAGAAATATCTGATGACCCACTTTATGGAATGATCTGTGAAAACCTGCTCTGTATTCCAATCCACCACAATAACCTTTATTCAAATCACCTGTGCATTGTCTCTGTCAGTTAGTCCAATACTTTGGTTTAGGACCAAAAACCTGCAAGACTAATAACATTCCCATCCGCCTCAGCTCTAGTTTGTGTTAAATGCTGATTTGAACATTTTGGCATGCTTTAACACGAAACTAATATACTGACAGTCAGCATGTGTGCATTATGAGACAATGGGCCCCTGGGCACAGGCATGCAAACACGCCCACCACCTCTCTACTAAAACACACAGACTTTATAGTTGTCTGTTGTTTTGTGTCTCTCTGGGGTTGATTTGGTCGTCTTGAAGTCTTTTGGGGTCTCTTGTGGTCATTTTGAGTCTTTCTGTAGTTCCTTTGTGTCTATTTCTAGTCATTTCGTGTCTCTTTGAGGTTGCCTTGCCCCTTTTCAGTCTCCTTGTGAGTCTCTTCGTGGTATCGTTTTGTCTCTCTGCAGCTATTTTGCATCTCTATGTAGTCCTTTGTGTCTCTTTCTCGTTGCTTTATGTCTCTTTGTGGTCATTTTCAGTCTCCTCCGGGTCGGTATGTGTCTTTTTGAGTGACATTTTGTAGGTGAAGGCTAAGGGGGGCCCTGACACTTTGGGCCCCTGGGCCTGTGCCCGGTAGGCCCGCTCAGTAATCCATCCTTTACTGTCAGTAACAAGACAAACAAAACATGTTTGAAACTCATTAATGCATTGTGATTGACAACGTACACAACTCTATCTGAACGTTTGCTGTACGGCAACCAGGAACACATTCCTCTGGTACGCCATGACAGCTACACTCTGAGGATCAGGGCTGTGATGTAGCTTTCAGCTCTACTTAAGATCAGACCGGTATGAGAACTTGTCAGGACACACTTATCCGTTTTGTTGTTCTGAGTACTCTCACACAGAGTTTGCATTTCACCCGCTAACAATCAACAGACGCCGATGACAGTCGGTGCTGTAACTATACGGTCTGTTGAAGGAACATGCATTATCTTTGTAAAAACAGTGGTTAAACCAAATGTCACAGGAAAGATACCTGGAGGGGCAGGAGATATCAAAGAGCTTCCCCGGTGTCATAAAAGAAAGCCTTCCTCTTGCTTTGTTTTTCCTCCTCTTTCGATACCACACACCTTTTTCTGAGGAAGCTATTTGCTATTTAAAATTTAAAAAAGGAGGCATTGAATAAAAATACACTCCCATGTGCGCGTTGAATGAATGTCAGTCTAATTGCTGGGTTTAGAGACACTGTGGGGTCTGCTTTTAGCAGGCACGGAAAGCGAACAAGCAGGCTCATTATTTGAGAATCCCAGCTGTGAAAGAAATCACGATATTGAGAAGTGAACTTTGGAACGGAATGCTTTTTTTTTTTTTTGTAGAAGATTGTCATAGCAGTCGCGCCGATTTGCAGCCGTCCCATTTCTGCATATATTCTGTGGTTTTCCATCTGTACACGGCATTTCATATTGAAATTCAGTGCTATGCTGTGTCCTAGTTTTGCCATATATTGTGCAATATGCAAGAAAGCAAGCATTAAAACTGTAAGATCAGACAGCAATGACAGCTTCCTGCTATGTCTCAATGCAGACTATAGTTCCCCTGAACCCCTCGCTTTGCTTAATTACCTCCGAACAAGAAGGAGAGGGGAGCCGAACCAGATTTGAGAAGGTCCATCAGGGAAGCATTCTTGAGTGACAGCTCACCTTTCCTTGCTTTCAGTAATACAGTAGGCAATAAAAACACACGCCGTCATCCCCGCTGCAGAGTTATGCGATTCCACCTCGCAGCTTTCGTGGCTGCAGGCCGTCTCATGGGATGTTGAGACTCCTCTGATCCGGGACTACGTAGGAATTACAATACGTTCGGGGAGTTATGAGACTTCCCTTTGGTGCTGAAAAGGACACCAGGTTTCAATAAAAACCAGACTGATCCTGTAGAAGCTATAACCTTTCACGTCCGGCTTTGAAGAGACCTCTGCCAGAAAAGAGCGTGACTTCTTGTGTAAACCAATAGAATCTGACTTTGAATGTAGACGTGAGGTGTATAGGATACACAAGACATGCATATTGGGTAGATCGCACCCATTTTGATGAAGTGAAATGTTCAAATCTGACATTAGACAAAGAGACATGGAGGCTATTTAGCAGTAAATGCTACAGTGGCACTACCCTTTATACAGATTGACTTCTCCCTCTGTAAATGTGTGTTTACAGTAAATCACGGCAAGAGAAAGATTAACAACTGCTCTGGGTGTTTTCTTAGATGAATCACGGCACGCTGCTCTTGCAAGGTGTGTTGCCTTAAGGTATAAATCACCTGTCCAAACTTTTCATCTCTCTGGATTAGAATGAGGGCGAGGTCTCTGGAGGGCACAATTACAGAAAAAATGAACAATATTTACTTTAAAGCAGCTACAATAGATATGTTTACAACAGCAATGGATTGAATTATTATGTGTAATGTGAAGAGGTATCTTGTAGTGATAAACAGAGAATCAGCTCTGCAGCTCCCCTCAGCTTGATGGAACTATACATCGTCTTTGAGGTCATCGAACTCATTGCTCTGTCATGATGAGGGATTTCTGGAGTGTCTGTAGCTGCCTCCCAGGCACCCCTCCCACACTCTCCCCTAAATGGAAGTGGGTGAGTTTAAACAAAAAAAGGGCTGGACTTCCCTTAATTTGCTGCGAGCTTACAATGGCTTGAATCCGAGTCTCACGAGAGCCAGAACACTAAACTTTTGGCAAAGCTCTGCTGCTGCTGCTGCTGCTGGTGTCACCATTGGGTGCCCACTGACCTACAGACTCAACTAACATCCAACCCTGGACAGAGGACACCCAGCTTGATGCTCTGGACATGGAACCAAACTAACTGGATGAAGAATCTCTCCTCTTCCCTATTTGCACTTCTCTGAATTTCCTCACTGCCAGGAGAGCTTTATATATATATATATATATATATATATATATAGCTGAACACTTTGGAGTCCTAAGTCAGCAACATTGTGAGTTATGCATACTTGAGTGTCAAACATGCATGTTAAAGCTTGTTCTCTGAGTGTGTGCAGGTTTTTTTCTTTTGGGGGAAGGTATTAAAATGTGTCTGGGACCTTTTTTTATCCATCTCTGTCTTCTCTTTATCTCTCAGGGAAGTCATGGTCCCCTCGCTGCACTGGGTCCTGCTACTGTGGGGACTTCAAGGTCTTTGGGCACAGGACTACGAAGAAGACTATGAGGAAGAGGTGGTGACCACCAGGAAGAAGAGCAAACTAAATCCATCCAACATCATACCTCAAAATGGCAAATGTAAGTCTTTTATTTATTTTTTGATATCTTTTCCACTGATGCTCTTACTCTTAAAGTGGTGTGGAATTTGTGCAGGTGCCACATCTTTAGCTTTTTACAAGGAAACATAAGCTGCTGCCACAGGTGTACAAAAAAAACAGAACATGTTAATCAACAAGGACATCGCTGGAGGATGATCGAATCTCCCGGGCTCCTCAGAGCCATCCATCTCCTGTGTGACCGCTCAGTGCTCCGTTACCCAAATGTTTTATTCGCTCAGAATCCTATTTCCCCCGGGGCGCATTCTCCCTGTGACACGTTTCCTTGAAGATTAATGTGATTTATCCCCAGCCCACATCAGATCCGTGACCTCCTCCTATCGCCGAAGGTTGGTGCAGCAAGTTGGCTTCATATCCTCGCTACGCCACATTCATGAACTTATCACACTTTTCCTGAAAAAAGGCATCAGCCTATGGAAGCAAAACAGTCAGTAAATCACGTGTACCCCTCCTGAAGGCTCCACAGATAAAGGTTTCTCTCTCGCTCATAAAACCCATTTGGCTGGGATGTCTTAGATCTTAATATTTGGCTGAAAGTCTTCTTGGCGTGTGACACATACCAACTACATCTTGTTCAGCCAGAGCGGAATGCATCTTTTGCTCTGTTGATATGAAAGTAATAAATGTTGTATCTTGATTGAAAAGGTCTCGACATCATGTGCAGTTAACTTGGTGGTTTGCTTTGAAGCATTAACTGCTATCATCTAATCGTGAAATGCCAAAATTGCAGGGCTCAACATTAATGTACATTTTTGCCCAGTCCAGCAACCCCCGCTTTAACTGCCTGGCCCTCAAAAGTGCCTGGTTTATAGTTGGAGTTTCTCGCCACGCAAGTAAAGTGTTTCCAAGCTAATGCTCGATTAAAAATGACAAACTATATCTTTGATTCTTACCTTCTTTAATAAATCTCTTCCATTTCAGCTGTCATAAGCGAAGAATGCAATTTGGAGTTAGCCTTTCTGATCGACAGCTCAGAGAGCGCCAAGGACAACCATGCCCAGGAGAAGCAATTCGCCACGGACGTGATGGACCGGCTGCAGAACCTCCAACTGCAGACGGGCCGGGGCCTCAGCTCCCGGGCAGCCCTCCTTCAGTACAGCAGCCATGTCATCATAGAGCAGACCTTCAAACAGTGGAAGGGCATCGATGACTTCAAGGCCCGAATCGCTCCCATCGTGTACATCGGTCACGGCACCTACACCACCTTCGCCATCACCAACCTCACCCGTATTTACCTGGAGGAGTCGGACCCCAACAGCATCAAGTTGGCCGTTCTGCTCTTCGACGGCATCTCGCACCCCAGGAACCCAGATATATTTTCAGCCGTGGCTGACGCCAAGAACCAGGGCGTCCGCTTCTTCACCGTAGGCATCACACCTGAAGCCAACGTGGCCGGCAATGTAGCGACGCTGCGGCTAATTGCTAGCTCCCCAGCGTCGCGCTACCTTCACAACCTGCAGGACAGAGGCGTTGTGGATAAATTCATCAAAGAGATTGTGAGTAAGAAATATATACTCATTTTGCTTTGGTAATCAAAGTCTACTTTTTGATTTTATGCATGATTAGGTCATTTTTTCCCCCGAAAGGCTGAAGATCGTTCTCATTTACAAAAAACACTTCCAAGAATGTGTAAATTGCATGCATGTTTGATAACTTCAAAAACCCATTATGCAGAGTGACTTTTGCCAAATGAATGAAACGTTTGCATCTCTTACGTCTTTGACACCACCTACTCCTTTTTTTCTCGTCTTGATGCATCCCTGGTGTACACCTGCTACCTGCTGCAGGTCTGCTGTCATCACCTAAGTCATCACTGTGGAATCAAATGCACTCATTACATCCACCCAGTTGGCCGAAAACGGCGAAATTCCTCTTTGACAGCCACGTATTAAGTCACGCCAATGTGTCTTTATTTCCAGTTGTTTATACCGAGTGATTTGGGGTACTTTTAAAAAACGTTAATTTCCAAGATAATTAGAACATGTGCTGGAAGGCAACATCCTGTAAACACAACCGGGCTGCTGGCTGTAACATGTGCTCCGCATTAAAAACCTTTGTGGGGAAGTCGGATGCAGCAAGAGCAGGAGCACAGCGAGAACATGCATGCACATGACATCATTCAACCAGCTCCTCAAACACCTCCTCAAACTATCTGTTGACACAGGTGGTACATATCTAAATATTATAAGGGGGGGACTTTATTGAAATCGTGCACTGCGGCTCCTACAACATTGGACCTGACAGCCTCCAATACTGCCGGCATGCAAGAGCCCGGCAGCAGCAGCTGGGCCACAACCAGACTTTCATCCCAATGGCCTACAAAGGCAGCGTCTGTATGTCATAAGCATGTGCCTCCGTCTCAGCTGTGACACTGTCTTTAATCTTCAGTCTCAGCATCAGACTGCGTCGCCCCGTCCTCTACGACCGTCTGTGTAGTCTTCTCCCTACTGCGGAGGCTATTTCCCTGATCAATGCATGTGGTTTGGGTTTAGTCTCGTGGAATCTCCACCATTTCCCCTTGTGCAGAGAATGCGGTTAGCTTTGAAGAGAAAAAAGCGACCCGTTGGGTGAAAAACGAGGCCGTCTGTTACAAGAGGAAACACACAGAGTCCACTCGCAGAATCAGGTGGAGGAGGTCATCTGACAAACTGAACCCAGGCCAGCTGAGAACAAGTTTAATTGGGTGTTTGAGTAGCAGGTGTTTGTGGCTCCACACTTTTCCTACGATGTAACTCAGAGAGCAGAATTAACAGCTTACCTCAGGTTTTGACTGTTTCACAAGATCTCTTGTCTGTAAATGCGTGCTGGTTGGATATAAATGAACCATATGCAGACAACATCTTGACATTCTTGTTTCTTGCTCCACAGACGGCGCTGGCAGATGAAGGGGTAAGTCTACAGAATTCGGTCTTTCCGCACATTTCCTGATTTGTGTCCCCAAAATGGCCCGTCTGACTCTTGTTTCCCTGTGTTTGTAGTGTCCTCTGGCCCAGAGCAAGTGTGCGTGTGACAAGGGTGAGAGGGGAGCCAGCGGCTCTCCTGTAAGTACCCATCCGACCCAGCATTGGCCTATGGAGCCCCAAAGTGTTCATTATTTTTAATTAAAATATCATTATAGATATTTTATTTCAAATCTTTCAGCCAATCACAGGCCCCCTGCCTCTTAAGCTGGCAAGCTCAACAGCTGCGCCCACATTTAGCCAGTTAGCATCAGTACACAGACACAGAAACTGACATCTCCTTTTATTTATTAAGCTTAACAAGGCTGCTACAGCTAGCTACCTAGCAGGCTATCTAGCTTAGCGAGGCGGGATTGGGAACTTGGTTTAGAACTAAGTAGTTTCCTCATCTGTGTTTCTAAAGGTGTGTGCAAAAAGATGTTTTTTAGAGAGAGACACACAACTCTGTGAGGAGTAAAATGTTAGGCGGTCTTTCTTGTTTTTGTTGCTCTACCCAGCAGGTGCTAACCAACACGGCTAACACCCTCCACACTCTTCAAGCCTAGCTTGTTAGGCGGCTAAGTTGCTTTAGCCGCCTAAATAATGGGAAAGGTTTAGTTACTGTGTCTGTGTGCAGTGTACTCAGTGTACTGTTGTCATGATTAATTATTTAACTCTTTGGGAGTCCATATTGGCCGTCCTCTACTACATACAATAAGATTAAGACTCTGCTTTTGAAAACCACATGTGTTCTCTTTCGCTGTCCATAAATAACCGTTATGCCCAGGCCGGCTCGTTTTGTAAAGTCGTAAAGGACAACACAGCTGACAAAAGCCCCCTTGATGCTAACAGCCGACATAATTGCTGGGTTTTGGGGGGTGTTTAGTAACTCATGTGGTTTTGAGAATCTCTGTTTCCCTGCAGCAGTGAGAGTAAAGCAGTAAAGAAAATACCGTACATTCCTCTAACAGTATATTAAGAACAGGCCTAAACAGATATTTACATGGGAAATCAGTAGGATCATGTCTGTCTGTGAGAGAACCCTGCCACTCAGGATTGTCTGGGGACACATGGGTAAGATGTTACATGCTGGACTTTCTTCGCCTGCCAAAGCCATGTCGAGATGTGGGCGCTCCTTTTATTACACAGACAATCAATTAGACGTAGCGGTTTTGCCTTGATGTATTTTCACAGGATGAGAACAGAGCAATTACCCCATTAAACCTAATGCTCCGAACAAAAGCTGTTTCACATCACTGGCAGCAGGCGCACACTGGCGGAAGCAATGTGCGCAGACAGAGGCGTACAGACAGGGAGATGCTTGAAAGATAAGGGCACGCACAGTCCACAGCACAAACTGCATGAAAACGGAGAGAAGAGCCAGACAGTTCTTCAAGGTAAGTCCTCTCACACACAGACAACTTGAAGTCCCCACTGACTCATCCGCTGCCAGATACAATGGCCTTTATTCATGCTGCACTTCAAACATGTTGCTTCCATGAGGCCTCTGGCGTTCTACTGGCGGATAACAAAATCATTGCCAAACGGAGGAATAGTTTCGACATTTTGGGAGATGCACTTGCTTTCTTGCCAAGAGCTAGATGAGAAGATTGATGGTATATATGAAGCTAGAGCCAGCTGGCAGTTTGCTTAGCTTAGCATAAAGACTGGAAACATTGTGGTGATCACGAAGGGGATCAAATCAGCCAACTAGCACCTCAAAGGCTAATTGACAAGTTAGGCTTCCTGTTTCCCCCTGCTTCCAGTTTTTATGCTAAGCTAAGCTAACAGGCTGCAGCCTGATATTTAATGGACATATGAGAGTCATATCTTCTCATCTACATTCTTGTGATCAGTTCCAAGTAAGATCATCAGTTAACCTTCAAAATAAGACTTCTTTATGTATTGTTTTTGTTCAGCAGATACTCTTCATTCGGATGATCTCATCTCGCTGATTGGCCTGGAAGCTATATAGATGACGTTGTCACGCTTTTCCTTTAAAGCAGTCTATGCTGCACCCCCATCACTCTGAAGCTCTCCTGATTTATTTCCAAGTCATTATCACACATGTGTTCTGCCTAACGGTGTTTCCATGACTTTCTCTTCAGGGCAAGAAGGGTCGTCCTGGAGAAGATGGGAACCCCGGCTCAAAGGGACACAAGGTGCTACTACCTACTCATTTAACCATCAGTTGTTTATTATTAAAATTGCAATACACAAACATATTGCCAGTTCAAGATATTGCTGGGACAAACCAACTAAAATCCCTTTCTTTTAGGGTGAGGGTGGGCTCAGTGGACTTCCGGGTCGGGAAGGATCAGAGGTGAGTTGAGGGCCTTAGATCAGGCTGTTAAGATTCTTCTTTTAGTCTCTCACATTAATCATTGCTCTTAAAGGAAAAGAGACGAGTCTTGTTCTGCGTTCTATGTGCCAGTGTTTTTGTTGTTGCCTGTCTCTTTGTGACTTAACAAGAATGTTTTGTACACACAGGGAAAGTCGGGATACAAAGGAGAGCAGGTATAGTATGGATTCTGCTGAAGTCTATGTATATGCCTATATGTCTATATGGTTTGTCAAAGTATCAGGTTCTCACGCTCGTGGAAAATCTTCAAGAGTGACATACTCTGGAGAATTATGTTTTCCAGACCTGATAAAGTGCCTTGAAAGGTAACATGCAAAGAGAAGACTTTGGAAATAGCACGCCGTTTTTTTCTCCTCTTTTCATCTGTGTTCAATGTCAAGCCTGTCCGCAAGCATCTCGAGTTACTTTTCTCTTAAAGGAATTTAATTACGTAAATCCCATGTCATCAGTTGTGGCACACCAGCAGCTGGGATATTAAAACCCATTATTCTAAAATAAACTTATAAACTTGAACTTATGCAAAATGGAAACGAAATGCTATGCTAAGGACTTCACTTAACTGCTTTTTCCTTCTCTTACAGGGAGAGAGAGGGGAGTGTGGCACACCTGGACTTAAGGGGGACAGAGTATGTTGCCCTTTAATGTTTTAAGAACTTAAGACCTCTTTAAGATGAAGTATTGCTTAGGATCACCACTGATCATCAATTTTAAGCAACTCCTATTTTCTAGGGTCCTGAAGGTACCATTGGCCCAAGAGGAAACCGTGGACTTCAGGTGAAATCGCCCATTCTTTTCTCTATCTCTGTACTGCTACTTTATAACACCCATGTGTAACCCTCACACATTTATCCACAATTCAGGGTACGCTTGGTCCACCTGGCGATAACGGACCTGAAGGTGCAATGGGTAAAAAAGTAAGTATTCCTCAGTCTTGATGCCTTTGAAATCACGTTTTGCCGCGCTTGAACCAAACCTGTGAAATCTGGGAAGTGTTCAAGTACAAAAGGAAACTCAGAAAGAAGTAAATCAAACGTCCTCCCCTCTGATTGGTTCTTCCTTTACACTTGAGTGAATTCCCTTTGTGCCGAAGACTGGCCTTTCCCCTTTTCCAAAGCCAGATGCATATCTGAAGGATACAGGGTTTTATGTTTTTTTCCAGTCTGGTTTGAATTAAGTCTCTTTCATAGTTGTATGAAAGGGGAGTCCATGTCAGCGGATTCATCTGCACAAAGATATTGAACAACCTTGTTACCTGTGGACTGGCAGAGGTGAAATGTGTTGCAGCATGTGGAAGAATATAGAGTGAGAAAACACATGTGACGTAATCAAGGGTTTTCTCTGTTCCTGAGGGTTTTCTCAGAGTACGGCTGCATTCTGGAAGTTGACATTTAAAATGCATTCAGATTTAATCCATTTATCACAGGTTTAACTAACATCACAAATGTCAAGTAGCCCTACAAACTGATCAGATGACCATACATTTGAACACTTGTTTGTGAGTTATGATCCATCACCAGTGGAACATTTGAAACCCCTCTTAGATAACCTCATCTGTTATTACCCTGTCAGCCTATTTGTCCGTTCCTACTTTTTAAGCCCCTTACTCGTGTTTTATAGCTGCCAATTCTGACATGAGCCCTCACTCCCCACCAAGTGTTCCCTCCTTAATTATTTTTTGGAAGAATGTTCACGATGATTGTCTGGCTGTCATTCTATATCACCTGAACTAATGTCTGGCTTCAAACATTGTCCCAACTTGCTGGAAAGGGCAAGGGAAAAAGTGCCGGTATGCGCCTGCTAACATTTCCACACCCTCTTCACGCCTCTCGCGTGCCTTCATGCTGCACAACATTGCCGTGATTTACGGCCTCTGAGTGAATAATTACATTCTTTAAGAATAGAGTCCTGACTGGAGGAATGAAGGTGCCCCATAGTACATGTCTTAACCCCCTTTTAAAATAGCTAAATATTAGGAAAAGATAAAGTAGAGAGTGGGAGAACCTCGACTGGTTTGCTGGTTTTGGTCATCGGCAAACCTGGACAGCTCTACTGATATCCCATCATGTCAAAGTGAGGCTTTGAACCCAGAAATCAGACTAACGGTGTGTTTATGCATGTGTTTGTGCACTTGCACATGTCTGTCACTGCCTGTCTTTTTATAGGGGGAAAGGGGACTTTCTGGGCCACCTGGAATCCAAGGGGAAACAGGGATCGGCCTTCCGGGGCCCAAGGTAAAGTCTGACTGCATATTGTTTTGGAAAATTCAAGTCACGAGTCCATAATAATCCAACCTGTGTCTCACCCTGTTTGTGCACTCACCACACCCCCTTACGCTCCACAGGGTGATGTCGGTTACCAGGGTCAAACAGGGCCTCCTGGTCCTCGGGGACTTGGCGAGCATGGACCACCGGTGAGTAAGAAGCACACACACCTCATACATTAATGGACCCTCCGCTAAGCCCCAGCACCCGGTTACTGATGCTACTGTATACATGGGAGATCTATCATCAAAATTCATTGTCATTTTTGAAACAGCGGGTCTTTGATTTCGTCCTAAACAGAGATTATTCTAACCTAATCATCCCAAAAACTAATTTAGTTATTAAGTGATATGAACAATGATATGATCCTTGGCTTTGGCCATTGATGGATTACTGAACTATGGTGCTTTTATCCTATCTTTATCCAAGAGTGTAGCCTTTCAATTTGATAGCATGACCCATTGATTTCAAATTCAGATTTTCCCTCAAAACCTTGTCCTCGCGCTCAAATAGCCCCTGCTCGTGCTTGGATTTGCTCTGCTTCTGCTTAAACTGTATGCTTGCACTCAGATATATTGTTGCTTGCACAGATTTCCTGCAATCCAGTTTCAGCCCTTCTCCTCACTCTCACATTTTTTTGTGCAACAACCCTGTCAAAATTCCCCACCCAATAGAATGCCAGGTGTAGTGTTGAGCGATGAAATGATCCCTGCCTCGTTGCCTTCACTTACAAAGTGTCACTCAAAGAGACACTTTCCAAACAGGTAGAGACTCAAAATGAGCACAAAGAAATACAAAACAACTACAAAAAGACACAAAGAGACTCAAAACAACTATGAAAAGGGATAGAACAACCAGTTGTTAAAGAGGTGAATTTTCAGTGGTCATTTACATCATTTTCTTTTACTCAGGGGCCTCAAGGGCCACAGGGAGTCCAAGGAGAGAGAGGACAGATAGGAGAAGGTCTCCCTGGACCAAAGGTGAGTTTGTGTCTTTTACCAGGCTGTTGGGGCTCACAGTTTTTCTTGGCACATCTGCACTCGAACCAGTTGAAAGGTTTGAACCTTTTGACCCCATTTCATGCATTCACTTTCAATTGATCCACCTACCCTGACCTGCTCAAAGGCCCCGTCTGGCCTCCAGATTCCTCCAGTGTAATGACAGGCCATTGATAATGTGAGTGATTACAAGAGATGATAACACGACACAGAACTTCCATGAGTTCACACACAGCTACGGCTCTCAATTACCTCATGGTGTGATCCGCTCCACTGGGAACATGTCGGTGCAAAGCGGCAGCTGCAGCGACGATGCAGGAAAATAGCCAGGAGACCATGTGACGTGACGGAGTGAGTGACTCATTGAGAGAGGAATGAATGAGTCTGTTCCTGTGTCTGTCTCCCCTCAGGATGCACAGACACAGGCGTTCACAAACACACACGTTGTCTCTTTCTCGCACACACATACAGGTGCACACACGCACGCTTAGAAATCCAAACATTTGATACCTTCCTTGTCACGGCTTATTCCATTTTCTTTTCTTCATTGATGTGAGGACGGATTCTTTTCTTAAAACATCTGCATAGACAGGGCCTCAATCTAAAATATTGCATCGCTAAACTGTGACTTAACGTGCCGTAGATGTCTGTGCACAAACTGTCTGTGTTAATCTCCCTCCAGGTGTGTAAAATCACCCTTTCATGCTTTTTAATATCCGAGTCCATTAAACACTCAGCACAGATATTTTTTAACATCTGCCCCAATGTCGTGTCAGCTCTATAAAATGAGCAAACCGCCCTCCAATCAACACCGGACCAAACCCCTTTGTTGTTATGATGAATGCAGACAGTCGGCCTTAATTAAAGGAGATTAATGGAGTGTTTTTAGGTAACAACAAATGTAATCACTTTTTGTCTTCAGTATTGTACAACACTAGTGTGCCTTTACATCAGAAGGCTCAGTAACTATAAATCAGGTGAAAATAATAATCCCCCCCCCCCCCCCCCCCCCCCCCCCCACCTTTATCTAATTCATCATTTGCGGACTCTCCAACTAGTTTCCACTCCTGAACAGGAGGCGGTATATCTCGTACCCTTAGATTGGCCTCGGGGGTGCTCGTTTATTCCTCGTCAGGGGATCTGACCGCCGACTCTCAGGTGGCGTTCATGTTCTGAAGGAGCGTTCCTCACATGGCGTGTCTCGACAAGTTCCGGATTCACAGGAGCTCTGCAGCAGTATTACCCATTTTTTCCACATCATTAGCGCCATGGCTTGTGTGCAAAAGTGAGATTGCAGAGTTATGATAATAAATCTATGCTTTTTTGACACTCAAATGCAGCATTACTATGCTAATCAATGTACTTATGTGCCTGTTACTGTATCTGAAGTGCTTGGATGACCTGGGCATAAGGCAAATGTTCTATTCTCTGAGGAGTAAAACTCATCCAGACATTATGCTGCACACTTCATTGTACTTGCTGTCAATTTGGATTACTGTTGTAATCCCTAACTGTATTTCTATTCCGGCTTTTTCTGATTTTCAAACTTACAGAGCCTCTCCAGACACATCTTAAGAGATGTAAAATACTTGTTTTCCTCATGAAATGGTCTGTAACCGAGACTCTAACTACTGAGCACCTCTTTCTCCCTCTGTATAGAAGAAAATATGAAAAAAGAAATAAAACTTACTTCCTCTTACAAATGAAAAGCTCGGTTTTTGGTGTCGGTAAAATGACAATAGTGATGATAGGCTTAAGAGTTCAAAGACTTATGGCCTGTGGATAAAGCTGTCCCTGAATGTTTGACTTGACAAGAACCCGGACGTTGTGAAACGGTCTCAGTTTTAAACATGTGGTTAACAAAAACTACTTTTTAGGTTTAGGGAAATATCATGAATTTAGTTCAAATAAGTATGTTTGTTTCAATATTACGTTACAAAAATGTTGGTTTCTCTAAGGGACGGTAACAGCAGTCTCCTGCTCACTTAACTACAATACACACCCACTATACTTCAAGATACGCCCACTTAACTACAATACACACCCACT